CGGAATGGAGGAATACATCCCTCACACAGTGAAAGTTCCTAAACCAGGGTCCAACGGCTGGTTCAACAAATCGTGTGACACTGCTCGCCAGCAGAAGATCAAGGCCCACAGAACCTACTTACAAAACCCCACTGTAGAGAACAGACAATCCGACGTCGAGTCCAGAAACAAATATAACGAAGCGGTTCGCAATGCCAAAAACCAGCATGATATAAAAGTTAGGCACAGGGTAATTTCGCAGCGCAATGGCAGTCGGTCTTTCTGGACGCTGGCCAAGCATTTTGAAAAGAACTTCTCACACAGTAGCCTTCCACCACTTACGTGTCAGGATGGAACTATTGTATTCGACTCAAAGGCCAAGGCAGAAGTGCTAGCCAAGATCTTTGCTGCCAACTCCACCATGGACGTCCCCACCAACGCCCAAGTGCCGTCAATTCAAAGGGTTCCCCACACTATGCGGGAGGTAACATTCAGGCATAAGACCGTAAGACGAGTGCTCTTGTCGCTCGACATCAACAAATCTTCTGGTCCGGACTTGATTCCTGCCATTGTACTGAAGAGATGTGCAGCGGAGCTTGCTCCAATTCTTTCGCGTCTCTTCCAGATATCTTATGAATCCGGCACCTTCCCAGAAAACTGGAAATTTGCTCATGTGCAGCCCATCCCAAAAAAAGGATCTAATACCGACCCTTACAACTACAGGCCTATAGCTCTGCTTTCTGTTATAAGTAAAGTGATGGAGAGGTGCATAAATCGCGAGCTTCTGGACTACCTCGAACGTCACAGCTTGATTAGCGACAGGCAGTACGGTTTCCGGCACCAACGATCCACAGGGGACCTCCTAGCTTACGTCACGCAACTGTGGAGCAAACTCATCCAGTCTCATGGTGAGGCTCATGTCGTTGCTCTTGACATCACGAAAGCGTTCGATTAGCTGTGGCACGCTGCCCTCTTAAGCAAACTTCCATCCTACGGCCTCCCAGAAAAGCTTTGCAGATGGGTGGCTGACTTTATCTCTGGCCGCAAGATATCCGTCGTAATTGACGGATTCTCCTCTTCATCCAACAACGTCAACGCGGGTGTTCCCCAGGGATCGGTCTTGGCTCCAACACTGTTTCTCTTACATATCAACGACCTCCTTTCCTGCACGATCAACCCAATCCACAGCTTCGCTGATGACAGCACTCTACATGCAGGAATTCAGAGTGACAAGCCGATCTCTGCCGCTGAGCTGGAAAAAAGAAGACTAGCGACGACTTCTTCTCTGACAAGAGACCTGGAGGCTATCACTGCTTGGGGACGCAACAATCTTGTACAGTTCAATGCTTCCAAAACACAGTACTGTACTTTGACGAACAAAAAGCGTCCTAGCGCTCATACAGTTTCGATGGACGGTTCTACCAAAGAGCCATTCATTTCGGCTGGTCGGAGTCCAAATCACTGAGGACCTGATCTGGCACGAACACATCTCTTCAATAGCTGCAGCTGCTGAGAAAAAGCTATGCTATTTGTTTAGGGCTAAGAAGTACTTTTCTCCGCATGACCTTCTCACTCTATACAAGGCCCAGATAAGGCCTAGCCTCGAGTATTGCTCACACATTTGGGGTGCTGCCGCCCCGACTACATTGTCCATGCTCGATGCTGTCCAGAGGAGGGCGGTCCGACTGATCGATGACTCTTCTCTAACAGACAGTCTCGGGACTCTTTCGCACCGGCGGGTCGTCGGCGATCTAGCTCTTTTCTATCGCTACACCAACGGGCTTTGCTCCTCAGAGCTCTCTTCCATGATGCCGCCACGCGATGTGCCTGCCAGCCAGACCCGCCTGACTTCGGCGTCCCATCCTAACCGTGTCAAACTTCGTACATCCAGAACTAGCCGATACGACCGCTCCTTTGTCCCGAGGGTGTCTAGATTGTGGAACAATCTACGGGAGGAAGCCTTTCCCAGTTCTACTAACCTTAGGCAGTTCAAAAATCGTATTAACAAAATTTCTTTGGGATCATCATAGCAGCCGCGGTGTTTCGGCATTTAGGCTTCTGCCTGCGCGGCTGTTTCGATATATATAAAAAAAAACTAACAACTTAAGCCTATTAAGACTATTATGATTTTTTGTAGAGAATAAAATTTTCTACAAAGAAGGTCTGTTACATTTTGTCGTATACGGAGCGAAAGTCAAAATTTTGCATCAATACAGTCGTGCGACTGTTTTGATACGAATCTTCAACTTCCCCCCTTATACTTCGAGAACCATCAAGGTGTCAAAAAGCGTAGGAGATCTTTTTTGTAGCACTTTTTATTCTTTACAAAAATAATAGTTTCTTATACTTTTAGATTTGTAGTCTACCCATTATTAGCAGAAACATCACTACATGTACCTTTATCCTTTAATTTCACGTAATATGTTGACAATACGACAAATTTGTATGGAAGCAGAATAGTGAAGGATGTAATTCCCTACAAAATTGTTTTTATTACTTTTACATAGGACTGAAAATGGCGCCAAATGCTCCAGCCCCATCGTGCCAACAATTTGAACTTATTATTAGGAGGCAATAAAAATAACCCTCAACAAAATTTCACTGTCGCCCAATTTGTAGGATTTCCTAATACAAAATCTCCCTACTTCTTGTCCTAGTATCCAACTAACGAGATTTTGTTAAGTTTATACATATGCAGAAAAATTTAAAATTTTCTGATTGGAAACCCAGTAAGTCGGTCGTCAGAAAATAGTGAAGTGTCGTGGAGGAAAAACCGAGGAAGGAAATGAGCCGAGTTGTACCTCATCCACCGACCATTTATGCTAATCATCAGTCAGACAATCGATCAATATGTTGTTGAAAACAGAATGAATCATCGCATATCCTAGAAAATTGCAAGGAAATCCCGTGTTGTCTGAAGCATTTTCTTAGTGATATGGTCTTTCCCCAAACGCGTCTCAGACACGAATATACGGGGGCGGGCCAATAAGTCCTAGTTTTTTTAATTGAACACAGGTTTTTTTGACAAAATGCTATTTTATTTCTTTCCATTGAGCCACTTCGTTCAACGTTTCTCCAGATTTTGTATCTCTTCCATTTAATAAGATTTGTCGAGGTCCTCAAATAGTATTTGCTTGTGAAATAATTACATCGTTTTTTTTTTCGCCTAGCCATTTCTTTAGGTTTAGAAACAAGAAATAGTCACTTGGGGCTAAATCCGGAGAATAAGGCGCACAAGGGTGCAATTCATAGCCGAATTCATGCAATTGCGCCATGGAGACTAACATTGCATCAGTCTTGGTCTTTTTATTGGGTAAACGTTGCCGTTTTTTCTTCAAATCGTCGTTGAGTTGGTCCGATAAGCTGGAATAATATTCGCCATCGATTATTATTCCATTTTAAAGGTAATCAATGTGGATTATACCGCGTACATCCCCAAATACGGTCTGCTGCTTGGCTTCTGGTGTGTTGTGATGAATCCATGTTTCATCTCCGGCACAAAACGCCAAACACTCCTTCGAATTATTTGTCACATAATTGCGTTTGTGGTCCATTGTGAGCAACCGCGCACCCATCTTGCGGATAGCTTCCTGATACCCAAATGATTATTCAAAATCGAAACCGCTGAGCCCTGTTATATGCCCACGGCTGCCACAATCTCTTGCACTTTAACGCTTCGATTCTTCAGTAGGCCTACACCATATCGTGATTTGTTTCGGGTGTAACGACCTCAACTGTGCGTCAAGAACGCTCGGCGCAACTCGTGCTTTTACGGACGCAATGACATTCAGTAACCCAATTTTTTACCATTGAAATTGATCGTCCGCCCTCATAATATTTATCAAGCTCATCTTTGGTTTGAGTGACAATTTTTTTCACAAAAATAATGCTTGATGAGCACTTGAAATTCACTGTTATCTATTTTCTTCACAATGTATGCGGTCACCTGTTATCAATGGCTGACAAACACAAACTAAATGGTGTAGCTTCTTCAAAATTTGACAGGAATCAACTGACAGATGCTTGTTGACAGGGGCAAAAATCTGTAACTTTAAGAAAGGATAGCGGCAACTCTGCCAACCCGCTCAGTGCGCATGCGACTAGCGACTACTCTCCCACCAACAGCACCGGTGTGCGCTTCTTCCTGTTGGAACAGGTATAGTCTAGTTTTTTATGGTCTAGACTAGTGTCTAAATTCTGTACCAGTCCAGAGTCTGCAACAAAATTTGGTTGAGAAGTGAACAAGCGGAGTTTTGTTGATCTGGTTGGTATTAACGCTATTTTCTATGTCCTATTGATTTTTTATTTTCCACGCATAAACCAGAAAATTAAGTTAGATTTGTTTTTAATTTTTATACTATAAAAGAATCGTGTCTCAAAAAATGACAGACGGAAAAATGGAAATTTAATATAATTTCAATTACGAAGTGTTTGGTCCATACTCCAGCTATCATTAGCATCTATGTCTATTTTTTCTCGGAAATCCCTGTATATAAGCACTTCAGTACATTTCGTTCATCCAAGATGGCAAATTATATATTTAGTTTTAGAAAATTACGTGAACTTAAGAAATCTTGTTTTCCAAAGAGAAAAGGTTCTTTGTTATGAGATACGTGATTGCGTGGAAACCAATAATGCCGTTTATTTGACAATATTTGTGTAACTTTTAGTGCTGGTTGACAGCTGCTGTTGCCAGGATGAGTAAACAGAAACAGAGTAACATCGATTGGTTCCTTTCTAAACAAAACAAACTGTCTGATCCACCGGCACAAGGATTACCGGAAAAAACGGATGATAATCCTACAATTCAACCTGAGCCTTCCACTTCAAAATTTCTTGATGGTGCAACGTATGATGAACCAAGTATTGAACAATCGGGTGCGAAACCTGAAGGATCCAGTTTTGTTGATGTTGCGCCATATGTAAATTTTAGCGGCAACTTGTCGTCCCATGAAAAATAAACCTTATTGAGGTGTGCAATGATCCCTAATAACTCTTTCAAATATCCCTATTCCACACACTTGAAAAATAATAAGGAAGTGAAATGTTACTGATCAAAAAACACTTTGAGAAATTTCCTTGGCTGTCATAATCACAGGAACTACAAGGGCTTTTCCGTAAATATTGCGTGTTTTTTGCAAAATTAGGAGGAGTACATAAATCAACTAAACGTGTTACCGTACCACTAAAGAAATTTTCGAAATTGTATGGCAAAACCGGTGATTGTGACACACATGAGAATTCAATATATCATACAGAAGCAGTTTCAGATGCTACAAACTTTTTAAAAATTTACGAAAATCCAGAGAAGGATATAAGAGATATGATAGGTTCAGAGCGAATTAAACAAGTATCAGAAAATCGGCAAAGATTGACTCCTATAGTAGAATCTATAATTTTCTTAGGACTCCAAAATATACTACTTAGAGGGCATAGAGATAGCGGACGACTTTTTTCTGATGACAGCACGAATGACGAGGATGTCCTTAATAGTGAAGGGAATTTTAGAGAACTAATACGGTTTGGAGTCGAGAGCGGCGACAATTTATTGAAAAAAAAACTTAGAGAACTCAAGCTTTTGAGCATACGCTACGTACATAAGCAGCCGCATCCAAATGAAATTATAGAATGTTGTGGCGAAGAAATATTGGATACAGTTTTATGTCGCGTCAGGCAAAGTCAGTATTACAGTATTATATTTGACGAAACTACAGCCATTAGCCATAAATCACAAATGCCAATCGTATTGCGGTATTGTTATCAAAAACATATTTACGAAGACTTCATGGGATTTGTGGATTGCTACTCAAATTTTGATGAAGATACAATGGAGCCCAAACTCACAGGCCAAATTCTTGCTCAAACAGCTAAGCATTTCATTAAAACCAATAACTTAGACTCAAAACCATGTGTGGGCATTGGTATTGATACGTGTAACCTAATGTTAGGTGAACAAAAGGGCGCTGTAATGGAATTGCAAAAATGTTTGCCAAATGCTCTAAAAAGCCAATGCGCAAATTATGTCTTGAATCTTTCGATTTCAAAAAGCAGCAGTGTCCAAGCAGTAAGAAATACTGTAGGTAAAATGAAGGAAGTAATTGCGTTCTTCAAAACATCCGCTAAAAGAAATACAGTATTAAAAAGAAAACTAGACGGATATCGAATTCATAGTATGTGCGAAACACGATGGACCGAGAGACATGATTCTGTTCTCCAATTTGAAAGCAAATTCGAGAAAATTGTAGAGGTACTAAATATTATCTCAAATTGGAAAGACCGACAAGCTTCTTCAAAAGCGGAGTCCTTGAAGATTGCCATTACTGCCACCCAATGTATCGTATCACTAAAGTATTTGTGTGATACGAGTATATTAGCTTTATCAGACAACCTGAGTAAGATTTTACAATAAAAAACAATTGACAAACAATACGCTGTCAAACTCATAGGAAATATTATTTCAGTTGTATAAGAAAGACGCGCAAATTCCGAAAAACACTTGAGAATACTATTCGCATCTATAATGAATTCACACGAAACCCTGGGTATTGAACTGACTGTGCCAAGAATAACAAGCAGACAAATGAACAGACCGAACATAGTTACGTCTCACAAGGACAACCATTACAGACTGAATCTATATGTCCCTTTGCTAAATAATATATTACATGATTTGGTATACCGGTTCAATGAAGAATCTTTGAATATATACAATTTCAATATTTTCTTTGCGTCAGTATTTAATTCAAATACTGAAGCTGAAGTAATGGACATATTTGAAACAATCTCTAAATATTTGCATGTACTAAATAGTAACGAAAACAAAAATTTAATAAGTACCAGATTAAAAGCAGAATTTGACCTTTGGAAGTCACGTAGACAAGATATTATAGACAGTGGAATGTCACTGTATTTGTCATGTGATGAACACATTTTTCCTTCAATTAATAGATGCCTACAATTATTGATTTCATTGCCGGTAAGTGTTGCGACATCTGAAAGAAGTATCTCCCATTTAAAGAGGATAAAAACTTGGCTGCGCTCCACTATGTTACAAGAACGATTAGTGGGTTTAGCTCTTTTGTATATGCATAGGGATATTAAAATAGACGTGAATAGAATCATAGATCGGTTCTCTAGCAAAAAGAATGGGCGCCGTGATTTTGTAATATAACACCTGAACTTTGCCTAATGTCAAATCCATCTCCCTTCTGTTGGCCAATAAATAAAAATGCAGAAGTAGTTGAGGGTTTACTTACGTTTAAACCACCACGGCGATCTTTTCTAAAGTATCCAATCAAGAAATGTGGTTTTATTTACTGGCCAGCAGATTGATATAACAGTCTGTTCAAATTCTGTTAAAATCACTTTCTAAGCTAATGTAATGAGTGTTTTATTTTGGGACTGTGAACTGATGTAGTTTCATAGTTTATATGTTTTTGTTTTTTGAGAATGTAGTTATGCAATGAACATTTTTTTGTGTTTTTCTCATGATTAAGAATTTTATTTTGATTTACATTCAGTTTTATAAGAGTGGTAACATATTTGTTAATGTTATGTTTTTTCCATCAAGATGTATTCTTTGTTGTTTTGTCTTGTACAGAAATTACTGTAACAAATTGATATGTCTGCATATATCCATGCTTTCAATTTTAAATCATTATAACACTTCAGTACGTGACACTGAGAATTTACTTTTCATTTTACCCCTCCCAGACTGAAATCCTGGGAGCGCCGGTGGGCAATGTTACCATTCCAGCTAAGAGGCAGGAAATTAAAAAACTCACAGACTTATCGACCCACCCTCGTATTATTTGTTAGATAATACGATTGAGAATTATAATCACGTTTATTGTTTTTAAATACACGTTATAAAGTCAAATGAAGTAATATACTGTTAATTTTGTTTCTTCGGTAACAGTTTTTGTGTGGTACGGGATTTTTGAACTTTATCAGGTAAGATTGTTTTTAGGAACATTTTTTTTTTAATATAGCCATGATAAATAATAATTTTCGACGCTTAGGTGTGAGGCATTGTAACATTATTGCAATTTACAAAAAAATACTCTTGATATTTTTTTAAACCAATATCAAAATGGGCGTGTCTAGTCATGATGGATGAATTTAGCCCAGTTAGATAAATCATGATCTACACAAAACAGTTTCGATCAATTTAGTGTAAGGTATCGTAATCTTTAGCAAGTACGAATGACGGCATACGTATGATAACGCTGATAAGAACGTTTGTGTGGTAGACTCATCTTGGGTGTGACATAGGTAATACTTCATATCCGCAGAAAGCACAGTGCATCGAAAAGATCCAGTGCAGACTTTAGACGCGGCAAGATGAAAGGACTTTTGTTTTTTTTGGCTTTGGCAGCAGTTTTTGCAAGTGGCTATGCTGGGGTGAGTAGATAGCAGAAATAATGTTTTGAGTGATCATAAACCAACTGGCCGAAAATAAAGAGCTTTTTTATCTAATATAAGATACCAGTGGAAACTAGCGTTACTAGGTAAATGCGTGCTATTGAAACATGATGAGTGGAAATAATCGATACAAGTTTCTTTAAGTTCCGATATTTGGAGAAACAAAAAACATTTGAGATCATTTAAATACTTTGATTCCTCTAAATTTTCTTAATGAATAAGATGACTGGCAAGTCGATAATCTTCTTGAATGATCAAAGAAGCCTCTAACAATAAACCTACTATTTTTCAGATTGCGTATGCACGCTAGAATGACGCGAGCGTTATTTAGAATTTAATAACAATACTTTAAAATAAAATAGGCTCAAAATACTCCTCGGCATCATGCAGGGAAATGCTTGAAGCTTAACAACATCATCAACCTCAAAAATAACAATTTAGAGTTTCAGAGCATTGAAGATTCCCATTTTTGGGTTTTTTCTGGTTTTATGTTGCTTGAAATGGTCGACTTTAGAGAAAGTTGCTTTATTGAGAATATCTAGAAGAGCCAAAAAAATTATTAGGTGCGCAAAAGGCATGTTCTGGTAGTTTGTTTAAGGCAAATTAGTTAACAAAGTCACAACGCAGCATTCTTTTGGAAAAAGTGATTCCAGTGGATTCATAGGCGGAGTTAGAGAAAGTCTGCTGGGAGGGTAGGGCACACTTTGCACATTACAAGTTTTCTCATATAAATAGAAGCATGACCAAAGATAGCAAATTTTTTCTTCATGCTTGGCGACGAAACTTGGAGGCAATGCATCCTTATGCCACCCCTTTACTACGCCTATGGCTATATTTGCTCCCAAATTCTTCGTTTTTTGATGTCTATGAAAGGTTCACATTGTATCATCTCAATTTAAAGTGATCCAAAGGGCTCAGAAGGCTTAGAAGTCGAGTATTCATACCTCTTACAGCTAGATTAAAAATCCGTCCCTTTTTAGTTAAGTATGATTTGAATGAGCTCAAAACAATTGTTATCGTAAGCCATGTTAATATGCAGCCCACTCTTGTCCGCTCAACCTATGTGCCCAAAAAATTGGATAAGAGAGATGCAAAAACGAACTTCTCCAAATTCGTATAAATTTTCTCCTGACTTTATTTGTAGAGGGATTTTAAAATAAATTTCACATTAACATTGCCACTTTTTTGCCTCTATAGACGGCATAATTGAAATTTCAATATGACGTTTCGTCTCTTGTCCTCCAGCATTAACTTTGTTTTTCCTGAAATGAAATTCTAAATCAAGCCATCTCGTAGAGGAGAGAAAGGGGCAATGTTAATGTGCAATCTATTTTGAAATCTCACTATGAAAGTCAGGAAAAAATTAAAGCGAGTTTGGGATAACGCGGTTTTTTCTTACCGTTTCCGAGATCTCAATGGTGAGGGTCGAATTTGAATGGTAGTAAAGATCCAAATGGGAGCAAAGATTGACACGACATGCAATAACAATTCTTTTGCACCATTTGTGATGTTAATAAAGGACGGATTTTACAGTCTCACAGTATAAGCCATAAATAACAGACTTCTAGCCTCCTAGACACATTGGATCGAGTTGGTACAAGGAGAACCTTTAAACAGCATCACTTGGGGTGCACAACCTCAAGGTTTGGAGCAAATTCACCGGATCCACTATTTTCATAAGAATGATGCGTGGTCCTTTGTACTGGGTTACCGGCAGAGAATCATTGAGGTCTCATATCCAATGTGTGCGAACGAAACTGAGAGAGAGAGAGAGAGAGAGAGAAAGAGAGAGAGAAAGAGAGAGAGAAGGAGAGAGAGAGAGAGAAACACGTTTGTTAGAGCAAGAGCGCAAATGAAGCGTCCACAGACCCGTCGTCCATGATGGCAGTATGCTTCTTTCACGCCCTCACTGCTTTTTCTTTGCTGATTCGAAACTCATGGCAGAGCATTTCATTAAAATTGCAATAGAATTGGACTTTCTACTTTGTGGCTTCAGGTAATGTTATAGGTTTCTGAGCAGAAAATATGTGAAATTATCAGTTTAATGTCTGTGTAAGTATGAAGGGTTCTCGTAATTTTAGATCCCTCTCCAACGTGACTTAGTGAGAGCATAGATAAGTAAAATAAACACAGCGATATAAATGATATGAATCAGTAATATTTTTTTGTGAAATGTGTATAATATATTCGTTGACTAACCAATACAGCATTAAGATATGAGTCATGACATGGAAAACGGTATCGATTTAAGCAAACATCCTACTCATAAAAATGTGTATGTGGTCGAAAAAATATTTTCCAATCTCTACCTAAATAAAATTGCATTTTTAATAGCTGAGATAGACTGTGCATATATTTTACAAGGATGATGCTGTTTATCCTCGTGTTCTCGCTTTTGTATTGTAAGAAAGCGTATTTGGAATTCATGCATTGAAAGAGAGATATTTGCATTAGGGCTCGGCATGTAAACATTTTTTCGATTATCAATTGAACGTTTAATCATTTAAACGTTTTTTTAATATTAAGCATTTAACGTAGCATTTTTCACAGTGTCATTTAAACTTATGGATACTGCAGCAAGAAGGACCATTAATAACTACTCGTATATATATAATGTTACTTAGGCAACCGGTTCATTATCTGTCGATAACAGTATCTCGAATATTTTTCTGTAGCAAATGAAATTGGGAATATATTTCGGTTTACTAACGCTCTTTATCGATTAAATAATATAACCTGTACATATACAGGGTGATGCATTTATCGTGAGACAACATAATATCTTGGTAGAATCACAGTTTTTTCGCAAAATGTTTCAGACAAAACTTGTGGGGTGAAAGGGAGGCTACCGTACGGTAACCATGAAAATGACCCTTATATTGAGTTTCAAAGTCGTTTGATGGTCAAATTCAAAATAGCAAACGCAAATGTCCCCTGTTTGACGTCATAAATGGAAAGAGCGAGATATTTTACGATCATATATGATCGTGACCTCGAGGTTAAGAGATTATTTTGGGGTCAAACAAAAATATCGGATTATTTTTAAAACTTTGCACAATTCTGAAGTGCACCTTTGAACGTTCTTGTCAAAAATGTCAAAGTCATTGCACTGGCGGTGTGCAATATCTTTGTTTTAACTCAAAACGACCTTGAACCTTTACCTCGAGGTCAAAATCAAATCTGATCGTAATACCTCCTGCTATTTTCATTTCCGGCATCACAAGGGTGGTATTGTTTATCTGATTGTTAAGTTGGCATGGAAATCGCCTTGGAGGATAAGGTGATTTTCACGGCCACTGTCGTATAATCCTTTTTTCTCCATACAGGCTTCGTCTGGAATACCTTTGAAGTTACGCGATATTTTTCTTCGTCAACACTAAGACGTAACACTTCTTTGAGGAAAACTATTGATATTTTATCTAAATATGCCCCAATAGCGATAAGTACACCTCATGAAACATCTAAAAAATTGCATTTGTAAATCAATATTGACATTTATAGGAGTACACAGCTGCTGTGGTGGAGTTTCAGCCAGCTAAATCAGCAACTCCAAGTCAGACCATAGAAGATAACGTTCACGAATATACTGTATTCATAGAAAACGCAAAGGTAAGTTTGAACTTCTCAGCATAAGTAACTAACTAGCCATCTAGCTTTCGTCCGTCCGCCCTCAGACGGCCAACCATGAATAGCAACTCAAAAAGCACGAAACCGCTGTCCAGTGTCCATGCTTGGTCATTGTAGTCGGACAAGCGACGCTATATCACTAGTCTGTTCAATGGCAAGTTTACGTATCTACTAGACCGCCAGAATCGGCGGCATTCAGCGACCACAGTTGTGACTCGGCTGTCAAATGGGAACCGGGATACAGTACTTGTTTCACTCTCGCTGCGGTCGATTCTGCTTGTTTCAATCTCTTATGTCGAATGTATGAAATTAGTAATGTGCACCTTGTTGTTAGCGTGAACTATTCTATTGCTGCTACATAGGTATACGTACTTCAAATGTTTCCATAGTGTATTTTTGTTTAAAAAATATTGTCAGGATTGTCTTTGCACACTTGAAATGAAAATATACTTCTCACTTTTTCACGTTTTATTTACTAAAAGGCTTACACTGTTTTACGAACATCTGCGGGATTAACAGCAACATTGATGCTGTTCATCACTACCTGCAATCAAATCGTCATGCTTTTCTTGGCGAAGACAAAAATCTCATAGTATGCACCGATTAACCATCTTAGCTTCCCAAATTGCGTGGTGCACTCCAATATGAGAAAGAAAGGGGAAGTTGTGGGTTTTGTCCGCAGCAGTCTTCCCTGCTCCAGGGATGTTTTTTTGGAATCAGACCGGAAGGACATTCTGTGGCTTCGCCTCAACTCCAAAACATCAAAATTTATTTGCTGCCTTTATTGTTTTCCCTCGGACCATAACTGGGATGACCTACTTGAATACCTCGCCGACAAGATCGACTTCCTGAGCATCAACCATCCCGCTTCAGAGGTAGTTTTTCTCCGTGATTTCAAGTCCCATAATGAGCTTTGGATGGGCTCAAGGGCTGACCCAACTAAAGACAAGCCCTGCTTCTTCCCCCGCGTCTCATCCCATGCCAGTAGCCTGCTGGATCTCTTTCTGACCACGCATCTTGTCCCTTACAGTACTGCTGTCCTGCCCCCCTGGATAACTCAGACCACGATGTTGTGGAGGTTAGGTTTCGGTCAGAACCCGCTGTGACAGCAGAAACTCGTACAGGTCGCAAAACTTGGCATTACGGACATGCCGACTGAGAGGGGCTCAGAGACTTCTTCTCTACCTTTCCTTGGAAAGATGTCTGTTTCACTGACGTGGATGCGTCGGCTGTCTGTTCTTCGATAACCGAAATTATCCACGTCGGAATGCAGGAATATATCCCTCACACAATGAAAGTGCCCAAACCAGAGACCAACGGCTGGTTTAATAAATCATGTGACACCGCTCGCCAGCAGAAGATCAAGGCACACAGAACCTTCTTACTGTAGAGAACAGACAAGCCGACGTCGAGTCCAAAAACAAATATAACGAAGCGGTTCGCAATGCCAAAAACCAGCACGATATAAAAGTTAGGCACAGGGTAATTTCGCAGCGCAATGACGGTCGGTCTTTGTGGACGCTGGCCAAGCAGATTGAAAAGTCTCACAGAGTAGCCTTCCACCACCTACGTGTCAGGATGGAACGATTGTATCCGGCTCAAAGGCCAAGGCGGAAGTGCTTGCCAAGATCTTTACTGACAAATCTACCATGGATGTTCCCCCCAACGCACAAGCGCCCTCAATTCCCTACACACCGTGGGAGGTAACAATCAGGCATAAGACCGTAACACGAGTGCTCGTGTCGCTCGGCATCAACAAAGCTTCTGTCCGGACTTGATTCCTGCAATCATGTCCAACCTATCCCAAAAAAGGATCTAAGACCAACCCTTACAACTGCAGGCCTATAGCTCTGCTTTCTGTTATAAATAAGGTGACGGAGAGGTGCATAAATCCCGAGCTTCTGGACTACCTCGAACGACACATCTTGATTAGCGACAGGCAGTATGGTTTCCGGCATCAGCGATCCACAGGGGACCTCCTAGCTTACGTCTCGCAATTGTGGAGTAAACTCATCCAGTCATGTGGTGAGGCTCATGTCGTTGCTCTTGCCATTACAAAAGCGTTCGATCAGCTGTGGCACGCTGTCCTCTTAAGCAAACTTCCACCCTATGGCCTCCCAGAAAAGATTTGCAGATGGGTGGCTGACTTTATCTCTCGCCGCAAGATATCCGTCGTAATTGACGGGTTCTCCTCTTCATCCCACAATGTCAACGCGGGTGTTCCCCAGGGATTGGTCTTGGCTCCGACACCGTTCCTCTTACATATCAACGACCGCCTTTCCTGCACGATCAACCCAAACCACCGCTGCGCTGATGACAGCCCCCTACATGCAGGAATTCAGAGTGACAAGCCGATCTCTGCTGCTTGCACAGCTAAGGCCTAGCCTCGAGTATTGCTCACACATTTGGGGTGCTGTCGCCCCGACTACATTATTTATGATATCTAACAGACAGTCTCGGGACTCTTTCGCACCGGCAGGCCGTCGGCGATCTAGCTCTTTTCTACCGCTACACCAACGAGCTTTGCTCCTCAGAGCTCTCCTCCATGATGCCGCCGCGCGGTATACCTGCCAGACAGACCGAAAAATCGTATTAACAAGACTTCTTTGGGATCATCATAGCAGCCGCGGTGTCCCGGCGTTTAGGCTTCTGCCTGCGCGGCTGCTTCGGTATATAAAAAAACAACAGTTACTTAATTTTTACCTACACCTACACTCTGCCTAGTAACATATGAAGATCAATTTCCAGAAAAATTAAGGTCTCTATAAGCTTCGCGAAACATATTGAAATATCTAGAAATAAGCAAAACTGACAACTGTCTGACAGCATAGCTAACCTATAATCGGAAACATCACAGAACTCAAGCTGTGGCCTAACTCACTAGCCAGGGTGTTGCAAATATTAAGTATTATATATTAAATCAAATTGAAATACTGTTAATACTGATAATTATGACATTCACATATTTATTTATAGAGAGAAGCTGCACAGATAATAGTTTTTCCTGAATATGGCCTGACAGGGATGGTACAAGATCAACCAGAGAGGTATGCTGTTGAAATACCTGACGTAGGTTCAGGACCAACATACAGTGACCTTGTAAGTAAAAGTGAATCTCGTGTTAATACTTTTTATTAGCGGAACAGTATCTCGGTACAGATAAAACACTAGGCACTTTGTGCCGCCCCCGCAGGGTTGAATATATGGTACATGCCCTAGGCGCTATCTCGTACTGCCCTTAGTAAAATTCAAGTCAACGTCCTGTTGTACGACTAGGCCTTGGCAACATGCCGCCCGACTTTAAGTTGGATTGCTCGAATAGATCAAGAACTCAATTCATAGCCCCTTGGCTGAATAACGAGATCCTAATTAGGTTCGGGTCTCAGGTATATCCCCGGCAGCAAAGATAATTACCTCATTCAGCTTCCAGCTATGTGATGGCTTTGGAAATTCGAGGTGAACATCTGTGCACAGTTCGTGAGAGTACAAAGAAAACTGGGATCTGGATGCCCATTCACTCTCTTTCGTGGAAGCTGTAACGTCAAGCCGTTTGAATCCGTCGATCTTCAGCGACAAAATTCCGTGGTCCAGTCGAACTAGTGAATTTTAAATTAATACAGCCATTGCAATCTAAAGTAGTATTGAATAAAATAGTAAGCAACCGCATCCAAATCGGTTCATCTGTTTTGGAGTTTTTGGTCGGGTAACTATAACTTGTCCGATTTTCATTAGAAACCGCTTTAGTAATCGACAAAGCAAACTCTTTCATCTGGTATCCCATGCAGGCTTATTATGGGTTGCTCACCCCCACGTTCAACATCTATAACTTTTAAATAGATAGACCGGTTCTCATCACATTGTTGAGAACCGTTTCGATAGATGAGGTTTCGAAAATTCACACTCAAATTGGTTAATCGCTTTGCAAGCTACGATGTTACAGACAGACACTCAGACATACATGTGAAACTTCTAAAGCTCATATTTGCATTGCGGGTTAATAAAAGAAAAGACAGTTTTACCATATACCGTCTCATGAATTATGTTTCAGAATTTGCAAAGATTAGCCAACGCAGCTAGAGAACACGGAATGTATGTTGTTGTTAACATACTGGAAAAAGCAAATGATACAGCTAACAAAACGATTTACTATAATACAAACTTTGTTTTGAACAACCATGGAAAAATTCTTGCTAAGTAAGTCCTAGATTTAAATAATTTTTGCTAAGCAAACTACAGAATCTCATTTTCTCGTAGTGGGCCTGTCTTGTACGATTTCTTTCGCCTCCTTTGGGCGTTCATTTGACTGACGGGTCTGCATTATCAGCGTATGGGACGTCTGTTCATGTATGCCAATTAGTAGCGCCAATTCACGGTTTGGGGGAGGGTTGCCAGCGATTGTGGATGCGTCCCACTAGGGCTCTCAGTTGACAGGCCCTTCTATTTTCCAAACAGTTTGGGAAAGCGAGAAAATTTTGCTTCACCAGAGTTTTGTCGAAGATACTGGGACGGAGAGCCAAAAAGTGGGTCACGTTACCTACACCGTGCTGAGCATAAATCAACACTGTATGCAGTTGATCATGGTTACAGAGACGGAAAGCAAACAGTTTCAGTTGAGAAGTTTCATGTCGAATATGAACTTAAGAAATTTAATACCCATTTAATCGTAGGTACCGTAAAATCAACTTGTTCCTAGAGCCTCTGTTGACACCAGGTGCTCAGGACCAGAAGAACACATTTCAGACTGACTTTAATGAGAAGTTTGGCATGTTCATATGCTTCGACATACTCTTTTACTACCCATCGAGAAGTACTATTGCATCGGGTGAAATCAAAAATGTTATTTTCACTACTGCCTGGTTCTCCACTGTTGCCATTCTACAACGTAAGTAGATAAGTTTCGTAGGAGGGCCAAAAGCCCAGTATGGCCAGAAGGGTAAAAGGCCAAGGGCAAATTGTGCAAAAGAGCCAAAGGGCCGAAAGGGGCAAAAAGACACAAGGGACCAAAAGCGCAAACCAAAAGGACCAAAAGGGACAAAAGGGACAAAAGGACAAAAGGACAAAAGGGACAAAAGGGACAAAGGGACAAAAGGGACAAAGGGACAAAAGTGACAAAAGGGACAAAAGGGACAAAAGGGACAAAAGGGACAAAAGGGACAAAAGGGACAAAAGGGACAAAAAGGACAAAAGGGACAAAAGGGACAAAAGGGACAAAAGGGACAAAGGGACAGGGACAAAAAGGGACAAAAGGGACAAAAGGGACAAAAGGGACAAAGGGACAAAAGGGACAAAAGGGACAAAGGACAAAGGACAAGGGACAAAAGGGACAAAAGGGACAAAAGGACAAAAGGGACAAAAGGAACAAAAGGGACAAAAGGGAACGAGGGACAAAAGGGACAAAAGGGACAAAAGGGACAAAAAGGACAAAGGGACAAAAGGGACAAGGGACAAAAGGGACAAAAGGGACAGAAGGGACAAAGGGACAAAAGGGACAAAAGGGACAAAAGGGACACCAGGGACAAAAGGGAGAAAAGGGACAAAGGGACAAAAGGGACAAAAGGGACAAAAGGGACAAAAGGGACAAAGGGACAAAAGGGACAAAAGGGACAAAAGGGACAAAAGGGACAAAAGGGACAAAAGGGACAAAGGGACAAAAGGGACAAAAGGGACAAAAGGGACAAAAGGACAAAAGGGACAAAAGGGACAAAAGGGACAAAAGGGACCAAAGGGACAAAAGGGACAAAAGGACAAAAGGGACAAAAGGACAAAACAAAGGGACAAAAGGGACAAAAGGGACAAAAGGACAAGGGACAAAAGGGACAAAAGGGACAAAAGGACAAAAGGGACAAAGGGACAAAAAGGGACAAAAGGGACAAAAGGGACAAAAGGGACAAAAGGGACACAAAGGGACAAAAGGGACAAAAGGGACAAAAGGGACAAAAGGGACAAAAGGGACAAAGGGACAAAAGGGACAAAAGGGACAAAGACAAAGGGACAAAAGGGAAAAAGGGACAAAAGGACAACAGGGACAAAAGGGACAAAAGGGACAAAAGGACAAAATGACAAAAGGGACAAAAGGGACAAAGGGACAAAAGGGACAAAGGGACAAAAGGACAAAAGGACAAAAGGACAAAAGGGACAAAAGGGACAAAGGACAAAAGGACAAAAGGGACAAAAGTGACAAAAGGACAAAATTGACAAAAGGTACAAAAGTACAAAAGGACAAACATACAAAATTTACAAAATACAACTTACAAAATTTACAAAATTTACAAAAGACAAAATTTACAAAATTTACAAATTTACAAAATTTACAAAATTTACAAAATTTACAAAATTACAAAAATTAAAAATTTACAAAATTTACAAAATTACAAAATTTACAAAATTACAAAATTTACAAAATTTACAAAATTTACAAAATTTACAAAATTTACAAAATTACAAAATTTACAAATTACATTTACAAAATTTACAAAATTTACAAAATTTACAAAATTTACAAAATTTACAAAATTTACAAAACTTACAAATTTGCAAAATTATGGAATTTACAGAATTTACAGAATTTACAGAATTTACTGAATTTACTAAATCTACTAAATTTACTAAATTTCGTATTCGATTATGAAACAGAATCTTATAGGTAGGTTTTGGGTAACTTTATAGTTTATTTTTTCAACCCCATGTCATTCCGGGTGGTCTTTCTCGAGAATTTGTAACTGAAGGTTTCACAATTTTTGAGTAAACTCGTATATCAATAATTCGAAGCTGATATTTTGCAAGTTCCAATGTTATTTTGTACAGTCAACTTTGGGGTGAAAATCAACCAAATGTCTAAACTAAAAAATTTCAAACATTTATGAAATTTATAATGTTTAAAATTACTACGCTTTTTAGTTTAATTTTCCTTTCAGCTTTAAATGTGCAACATGGTTACGCAGTGGCCAATAGAGTCAACCTTTTGGCGTCAAATATGAACAACGTCACTGCTGGAAACGGCGGAAGTGGCATCTATGGTAGTAATGGAGCAGTGCTGAGCTACTATATTTCTGGATTAGGCAGCAGTAGATTGCTGATCTCCAAAGTGGGATCTAATGTCCAACAATCATTCGTAAGTCTACTTAATCAGTGAAGTTTATTTTTAGTTTTATTCTTTTTTCTGTTGTTCAGCAAGTTCACTTCTATAAAACAAGATTGGTGAATGGTTTTTAGAAATCAATGTTTCTATCCGACAGAAACAGTTGAACACATGAATCTTTCTTTTCTATTTTAGAGAACCCAAGGACTGAAAGGGTTTAATACCTTCAATGGCAAAACTGAGTTAGATTCTTACATTACCCAAGAAAGATTTGACTCTAACCGTTTTACAATTAGAAAAATTGAACTATCTACAGGGGTTGAAACAGTAGAAAAAGTTTGTCAAAAGAAATTCTGTTGTGAGTTCAACATCAATGCTGTTGTGCCGACGATTGAAGAAGTTTATCAGTAAGTGATCGTTATTTTCAGAGCTTTAACGATTGTCACACTAATTTGACCAAAAGAGACAAAGATCGATATTCAAGCATTTTTGGGAATTGGATCAAAAACTTTGACCACACGTTCCATAAAAGATATATCTAGTATTATCACTTTTATTTTTCATATCATATTTAGGTCATCTAATCTATTAGTACGAATCCTTGTTTCAACCAAATTAAGATTTCAACATCTTCTTCAAAAGACAATGGGGCATTTGCAACACTCAAATGTCAAATATTCATACACACACCAATGTCCAAACAGAAGATAACCTAGATGTTAGAAATAACGATCTTGATTTTATGTTAGATTACAGAGACCTCACAATGCTGTTGATGCTTGCCAAATGCAGTCAGTGCGTTTTCTTGAACGTTACCATTCCCCGCACCGTGCAGGTGTACAAAGCCTGTTTGTAGGAACGTCGCGACAAGCACAGTAAAATATTTACACCGCCCCGAATATTGCAAATTAATTTAACAAAATATCACGCCCAAAACATACGTAATTTGAACACCGGTCAATTTTGACAAACATTCGTATAGTGATACATACTTTGAGCAAATGTTCCAATGGGCGTAAATCCCGTTTTATTTGAGATACGGACTGTCAAAGAATGGTGCCTTGGACAGGACCTATGTAGTTAGCAGTCAAAATAGTTAACGGTTGTTTTCAAAACGTAATTATGAAGAACCGTTAGCTCTCATGAGTGGGAAAAACTATATCAGTAGCTGCTAATAATATATCACTTTAGCATCCGTACAAAAGGGATGAAAAACAATCCCAAACTTCAGAATAGGGGTAGACAAGATGAGGAAGATCACGATCATGAATAACACAGGCTTACAAAATGAAAAAGTCAGAAGTTAGGATTGGGGGTCGATGGACAAATAAGAAGGTACCTAATTTAGACATCACAGATTTTGGTGTTTTTGGTGAATGTGCATGTTTTGAGAGAGAGAGAAAGTTTGTATACCATAAAACGGGGTACTTTGCACCATTTTTTAGGGTTTTATTCTCTTAGAATGGATGTAACGTCATTCGGAAGGAGATCTGACCTTTTTATTATAAACATCTATTGAACGGGTTATTATACAGCTGATTTATTTTACGTTTATTGCATAATTAAGAAAAAAAACTAGTTTTGTTACTGGTGCAAAGTATACCATAGAAGAGTGATACTTTGCACCACCCGATAGTTTATTAATATTTGACTACGAAATGCTTACTGGTGCATAGTAACGCTGTAGAATTTTGTACTTTGCACCAACTAAAAGCGAAAAAAATGTTCGTTGACCCAAATTTTGTTATTTAAGCCTACTTACATTTATGAAATTAGCATAAAAGTAATGAACATTGAAACAACATTGCTACATTTTAAATTAACAAACTTTATTATAATGGTAATAGAAAAAATACAAAGTTTGAGACTAATCCCACCACAATTTGTCACATTCTGGAACAATATACAATCCTCGTTTGGACATTTTCTTGGGAGGATTTATTGCACCAATTACATTGTCCCACGAATACCATATTTCGTCGCGTCTTTCTGGCCATTTCCAAAAATTTAGTGATTTCGTCATGGCATTAATCATTGGTCCATCGTTTTCTGTTGCTGTTATCGCTCCAGGATAGACATGATCTTCATAGCAAAATAAAACGTACTCACCAACAACTTTTTTAACTTCTACCAATCCAGAATTTTTCAGTTTTTCAGCAATCCTTGTTCCAAGGGAACCTGAGTCAAGTTTTTGGTTGAACTCAATTTCTTATTCCATCTCTTGGAGCTCATTTATTTCATCATCTGAGGAATTCCTGCTCAGTGGTAACTGATGGTCTAAACCAATATCCTCCTCTGAAACATCTTCTATGATTTCTGGCTCAACGTCTTTATACGGTACAGAAGTAGATGCTTCAGTTAGATCTTTAAAACTAATTTCCGAATGGGCAATACTTTGTCCTGCTGGAACAGTTATTTTCTTTTTCTTCCCACGTGTCTTAATCTGGGTGGCTTCCTGTCGTTTATCGGTTAAATATTTAATAAAGGAGTTTTGTATATTCGACGAGCTTGATTTATTATTTGTTGTTTCGTTATCAGTTATCGTATTATATTGACTAGTGGTTGTTAACCGCTCTAAGAGCGGTGTTACATCACAAGGGATGATACCACATTTCCTAAATCCCGATTGTAAAATCTCATGGCTATTCTTTTGATTTTTTCCATTAATAATCGTAAAAGCATTGGAAAATGCTGTTTCTCAAGTACATTTGACCTACTACCTATATGAGTTTCCTTATATTGAGATAAGATTTCCCTCCAGTCTTTTTCATAGGGGCAAATAATGCAACATCTAGCGGTTGTGTAACGTGGGTGCTGTTTGGAGGCAAGCATATAAAATTAATGTCGTGTTTTCGACACAAATCCAAGACTTCAACATTAATATGAGAAGACAAATTGTCTCCTAAAACGACTTTCTTTCCTTGAATTTTTTTAAGCCTGGGTAATAGAATAGTGTTAAACCAATTTGCGAAGGTCTGTGATTCGAACCAACCATATGCTGTATTTGCATAACGTGTACCAGGCGGACCATTCTCACACCAGGTGTCCCACAAATGCTTGGATTTGTACACCACATACGGCGCTAATAGTTCACCAGCTGCATTTCCACAAATCATAAGAGAAATGCTGCTCTTTGAGGAATTACAAATTCTTTCGGGATATTTAACTCCACGTTTAGTTAATATCTTTTTTTGTCCGGGATCATCGGTTAAGTTAGTCTCATCATAATTAAAAATAGCATGTGGTTCCACACCAATTAATGTTTGCTTTAGATTTTCTATGTATTCAGTCATTTGGTTTGCGTTGAGTGCTGCTCTACTTCTATTTATATTCGAGGCTATCCTTGCAGTTAGGTCCTTATGACGATATAAAAATGATTTGACCCAATCCATACCTGGAGTATTATCCTTAAAGCGTGCTATTTCTTTTCCTTGGCGATTTAAATAAGTCTTAATTATATGTCGCAATTCCATTTCAGTAACAGGAAAACCAGAATCACTAAGGCTATGGATGCATCTTACGAAAGATCTGTCTTCTTCATAAGAGAAAATTGATGGGTATTCAGGTTTTCTAGTGTGAACACCTTTTAATTTATAAAAAATAGTTCTCCTTGGAATCTTAAAGCATTCACCGGCAACTCTTGTACTCATGCCATCTTTTATTGCTGACAAACATGCCTTCAAATCTTCTTCTGAGTAGTCTGCATATCTGCGAGATCACAGCTTCCTTTTATAACGTCTGGTCATTTTCTGAAAACCAATTATTTGACAATTCATTATATCTTACCATTGCGAATGAGGATACTTTGCACCGTTTTGACGTGGCAAGTTGGGGATACTTTGCACCACTCAAGAGGTGCAAATATACCCAATTTCACGTGTTAAGTGCACATGTAAAGAGAAATATTATTTTTGATGCTGTCCTGTTATAAAATCTTTATTTTAGCACCTATGAATCGCAATCGGTTATGGTACATGCTATTATATGTGTACTTACCAATTTTTGTCCGTTGGAACTTTCTGCACAGTATAATTTTGCAAAGCGGGAAAATAATAAAATTTCGAGGTTAAACTTCAGGCCTTTACTGACACTTGACTGATGACCTGTGAAGCATTCGCGCGCGTGTCAGTTGCGTATTGCAATGTTGCCTATGTGCTCTAGAGGTAGCAGACATATCTAAACGAAACTAAGGGTTGAATTACAGAGAACATACTTTTACATGCTCGGTGCAAAGTTACCCTGCTCATTGCAAAGTAACCCCGCTTTACGGTACTTCTTTCATCTTCCATATTTGTCCACCCACGCCAATTCAGACTTCACATTTGTGTTCAGCTTGAAAAGATACGTTTCAAAATATAGTGGGAGCCCCAGCCCACACAACTTTTTATTTTTTGTGAGCCTGTGTTATTTTTAGAGTTTATATGCATTTTCTCTAAAATGTGTCCATCGATTCCCAATTCTCGATTCAGATTCGTTACCACTGGGAAAAAGTACAAGGGAAACATGTAATGGGACCTCGAGCATACAGCAATTTTTATTATTTTGTGGACCTGTGTAACATATCGAAAATAGATCTTACTAGTATTATACAGGATGTCTGCGAAAGGTTAGGAAATCTCAAAACTGGAAATACTACAGACCAAAATATGTAAATTGACCTAAACATACCTTAGTCCAAAAGTTGATAATTTGCGAGATACAGGGTGTCAAAGTTACAATTTTATTTTCTATTTATCCTTATTGCTTGAGAATTATTTCAGATTTTGGCATAAAACTCGGTATAGGGAGGTATTCTTGTATGAGAAAGAAGAATCTGTTTTTTTATGGCCAAACTTCTAGAGGGTGCCACTTACAGCACTATTTCGGTGAATAACTCATTATAACTTTTTGTGCTACCCTGATTACAACAACTGACTGAAAAATCTTACTTTCTTGTATTTCCACAACAAAAAAGGTTGACTTGTTAGAAGTGTGTAAAGCTAATAGTTTTCCAGATATTTGTTTTTAAAATTCCCAATGCATTATTTGTACCATGATGATAAAACATCTTTATAACCTAATAATCAAGTTGTTTTGGATAATATCTGAGTAGCGGTAATAGGTTTTTAACAATAACAAATGAGGATGGCAACAAAACTAATAAATGGAAATAAGAACCACAAAAATTGTTCAAAATGAGCAGCATGTTGCCTGATACACTCTCGAGCTCGACGAACTAATCCTTGCCGCACTCTCCAAACCATTTGGATGTTATTTTTCATTTCTCCGCTACGGTCGAAGATCATCTACAGTTTCCTCTGGCGTATTGCAAACGCGTCGCTTTAAATCACACCAGAAGAAGAAATCCATAGGATATAAATCTAGTGATCTAGCCGGCCACGAGGTAGGTCCTGATCGGCCTATCCACTGGTCTGGATAAACTCTATTTTTTCATAAACCACATATTAATGCGTATCTGTAATGGATGATCTTCCAGCAGAGTGGATAATTGTTCTTCAAGAAATTGTAAATACTTTTGGCCATTTGGTAACTCAACGGGCCTATTGAATATTGTCCAATTACTCCTGCCCATAAATTAATTTGAAATTATACTTGGTGGCGGGTTTGTATTATTGCATGAGGATTTTCGTCTATCCTAACTGTGAAGATTATGCGAGTTAATGGGCCCATCCCTTCCAAATCCTGCTTCGCCCGAAAATAATATTAACGAAGTAAGATCTGAAATTCAAATGGTTTTCACTACTCAAAATAAGGCTATAATCATTTCTCACCAGTTTCTCGTAACCGCTGATCGATTCGTTGGAAAGTCTTTGAATTAGGCAGGTGTCCATTAGGGAATCTGTCAGCGTACAATATTCGTACTTTTAAAGCATTACATCTTGCCAAACCGTACATTAAATGCATAGAATAATATTCATCAAACGTATACTCCATGTTGTTTAACGACTTATTGTCAACTTAAAATTATTCATGAAGTTTAAAGCAACATTATGATAAACATTAGAAACCATAGCAACGCTACTAAGATATTATCGAAAGGAACTTGATTATTATGTTATAAAAATGTTTTATCACCATGGTACAAATAATGCATTGGAACTTTCAAAATCCAATATTTCAAAAACTACAGGGTTGGCCATGAATTAGTTAACAATTGAAAAAATCATATGAAAAAAACGTTTGACATACTTCAAAAATTGTTTACTCACAAGAAAGCTAATTAGTTGGAATTCATTTCTTGAAAATTATATCATCTAAATGACCACCGTTACGATTTTTGCATTCTTCTAAACGTGTACAGAAGTTTTCGAATACTCGTCGGCATAAAGACTGCGAGATCGCTGACATCTCTTCGTTGATGTTTTCTTTTTGTTGACGGAGTGTACTTGGTTTATTGATGTAGACACGACTCATTAAATAACCCCATAAAAAAGTCTGGTGGGGATAGATCTGGACTTCTGGGTGGCCATGGGATGTCGCCTCGTCTGGAAATGAGCTTTTCCGGAAACATTTCTTTGACCTCCGGCAGGGACTCGTTGGATGTGTGACACGTAGCTCCATCTTGTTGAAACAATGTGTTACGATTGTAGCCAGCAAATTCCAGTAGCATCGGTGCCAAGAACTCCCGTAACATTTTCACATACTCAGCAGAATTAACAGTAACTGAATGGCCACGAGAATCTTCAAAGAAGTAGGGGCCAATGATTCCTTTTGCTGAAATTGCAGGCCATACAGTTACTTTAGGAGAGTAAAGTGGCTTCTCGTGTTTAGCTTTGGGATTTTCGTCGATTTTCTGTTTATTCACATGTCCGTTGACGTGGAAATGGGATTCTTCAGAAAATAAGAGATTGTCAAAATTACTGAATCGAGCTAACATCGTTTCGGCATACGACTTGCGCAAATTTAAATCATTAGGTTTCAGTTCCTACACTATTTGGATTTTATATGGATGTAATTTCAAATCTAATCTTAAAATACGGTGTAATGATGTGCGGGATAATCCTTATTCAGCCGAACGTTTGCGCGCCGATAAATCTGGATCACGTTGAACATAAGCGGAAACTTGGTACACGTTCTCTTCGCTCCGAGCAGTCCGTGGGCCGCCGGTTTGCTTTACATTCAATATAAATCCCGTCTCTTCGAACTTCTTCACCCATTTCTTTATCAAAGGAGTACTCGGACACTGACGTAAGTCATGTAAATTGTATTCAACGCGAAATAAGCATCTCACAGTAATGAGCGAATCCATTGCGACTGAATTTCCGAGAAACGAGCTAGCGACTAGCCCCCTCCCCGCGCATCGCGCGTCATCTGTTTGCATGGTGTGTTCGATTGAAATGTTACCGAATTCTTGCCCCACCCTGTATTAGCTTTAGAGACTTCTAACAAGTAAACCTTTTTGTCGTGGAAATACGAGAAAATAAGATTCTTTGGTCAGTTGTTGCATTCAGGGCAGCATAAAAAAGTTATGATAAGCTATTTACAGAAATAGTGCTGTAAGTGGCGCCCTCTAGAAGTTTGTCCATAAAAAATAACGGATTCTTGTTTCTCATACTAGAAAACTCCCTTATACTGAATTTTATGCCAAAATCTGGAATACTTCTCAAGCAATAAGGAAAAATAGAAAATAAAATGGTAACTTTGACACCTTGTATCTCGCAAACTATCAACTTTTGGACAAAGGTATGTTTAGGTCAATTCACATATTTTGGTCTGTAGTATCTCCAGTTTCGAGATTTACCAACCTTTCGCAGACACCCTGTATAAAAAACGGTTCTATTGTCATTCCCTTCCATGCATAGTTAAGCGACGGTGTTTTATCTCATTATGTCATTTTCGAAGGGGTGAAAAATCTCAATGTCTCAAAATCGTAATAGATGACATTAGAAAAATCGAAATCAGCAAAAGCTTATCAGCAATACTTGTATGATAATAAGGTCCTATTCGCTCCCTTATGCCACTTCTGTGGGGTGCGCTCCACCCAAAGTCTAGGGCTATACTCCTCCGTAGCAAAGCAAAGTTCGATCCTTCAGAACATTACGACTTAATGCATTCCCAAAATACCCTGAATCTTCCCTCAACGCATATGTCGAAATGATTTTCTCATAGGTTAGTAGCATATGATGGTGAAGATTCCAAAGAATCAAAAATTAGAGGACGAATAAGGATCTGTGCTCTTATGGTTTGTGACTCTCGAGGAGAAAGTTGTGCTTCCAGAAGTATTTTGAGTACCACAAAGTTCCTGAACATATCAGTACACACCGAAGCCAAAAATGAAAAGGAACATTTTTATCAACCTGTCACTTTGAGGTAAGCAAACACTCCCGCTTTGTTTTTGATTTCTGGTGAAGGAGTAATTGTATTGGAAATTAACAGAAAAACTACTTTTCAAACTTGAAGAGCGTTTGACTTGAATTCAGAGTGGGTAAAATGTTGATCTGCGATTTTGCGGAACGTGAGGTATAGCTTGTTACGTCAGCAGCCACAAGGATCAGAAAATGGACATAGATATCCTTGGCTACAGAGTTGTATCCCGGTATTGCAAGATATCCATCGCCTAACTAGCAAAGTGGTGCTTACGTTTTTGGCAGCCCTGATGGCTCTCTTTTATTGTTGCCTCAACGTCAGAATGCTGGCTTAATGTGTGGAATTCAAATTTGCTTTCTGCAGCGTATTTGATCTAAAATGAGACATCTAAAACATTCTTGTAGCATAGTTATACAACACCTTAGAAGACACATTTTGAACTGTTGCATAAACGTTTATACAATAATTTTATATAGCATTGGCGCGGTAGTCAAAATAGTTGTGTTTTGGCATCCATGGTAACATTTATACAACAAACTCGATCCTTGATGTTTTGGTGTGCAAAATTACTACTTTAGACAACAAATTACTCACAACGGAGGCACATATACAACTGTCGTTTAGTAACTGTTAAAGGCTGTACATCTGCAACAATACCAAAACTTTTGTAGTACAAAATTGCTGTACTCGGCATACATTTGTTACTAGACCATAACCTAACTTTCTGCGGTCATCTTTTTAGGTTGAAGGCCATAAACAATCTTTCAAGACAAGCAACGCATGAATATTCGTTTTAAAGTATTTATCAACTTTTCAAACAGAAGATATAGATCTGGTACAAACCCTGAGTAAGGGATTCGACTGTCCGTATTTCATTTTAGAGGTTTGTCAAATTGCTGTATAACACCTGCAGATAACACCAAAATGTTCTAATAAACCAAAGACTACATGGGCGATATCACGATTATGCATAACCACCCGCCATATTGGGTTATAAATACATTGCTCTATTGAAAATCAAATAATTCCGTTTCAGTCTAACATTACAGACATAAAATGATAAACATTATTGAAATTGTGTCTACATATGGGGAAGATTTCACGCAAGTTCAGAATTTTATCTTAAAAATCCAGACATATTTTTGATCATCATTGAAATATGAATCAAATCTGAAGCCCTTAGAAACTGCGTCCCTACTTTGTAGGATAATCATATTAAAATTTGCTGCTCAAGTCATTAGATAGCCCTATTTGAAAGTGAAGAAGTTTATCATAATATGTATGTATGAAATTCAAAATGGTCGACATGTATGTAAACAGGATGACTGTAATGTGTTAATTATATTCTTCACTTCGTCTATACAATACATAAGAAATAGTTTGGTTGCAGTAAGGTAGAATCATGAAACAGATTGGTTCTATAGTTGATAAAAATTGAGTCTTGCACTGACGTAAATGTTCTTTAGCGGCTGCACTTTTGTTGTATAACTGTTACCAGCAGCCCTTATATAGGGTGTTCCATCCGTTCTTGCTTTTTATAATCTAAAAAACACTTTTTATGAGTGAGACACCGAACTTTTTATTGGAAATTGTAAGTCAGTCTTTGCCATTTATGTATGGAATATAACATTGCACATATGTCCACCGCGGCTCCGTTGACATGCCGAATTTCGGTGCGAATGTGGCGCTTAAGGTCTTGAATCATGGTCATGGTCACGTTCACTTTACTTTTCAAAAATCCCCAGAGAAAATAGTCTAGTGCCGTTAAGTCGCACGATCTTGGAGGCCAATTCACGACGCAATTTCTCGGAATAATGCGATCTGGAAATGAATGGGCCAATAACTGGATTGCTTGGCGAACTGTGTTTGCTGGAGCCAAAGGTCGTTGTCATCAATACCTTCCACTTTCGGCCAAAAAAAATCATTAAAACATACCACCATAATGTTCGGCGGTGACCAAAACGGCTTTTTCCTTTCCATCCTCGGAAAAGAATGGCCCAATGATGCCGCTATGCGATCATGGAGAAGTTGTTCATGGATATCGTGTGTATTTTACGAACCCAACATCCTACAGTTTTGCTTATTTACGTGGCCATTGAGGTAAAAATGAGCCTCATATGAAAAGATGATTTTAGCCGAAAATCCCTCTCCTTTTTCATGCATCCAATTAACAAAAATATGCCGTTGCTGATGGTCCGCTGGCTTGAATTGTTGGGTTAGTTATTGGATCTTGTATGGGTATGTAGGTGGAGATCAACATGCAAAATCCTCCATAATGTTGTTGGCCTGATTTCCAATTCTTGCGAACGGTGTCTTATCGAAGTCTACACTTTGACTCACAGCGGCCACTGATTCATGAGTACGTACCGGACGGGCATGTTGATATTATGTTGTACGACGTTTAACTGAGCCAGGTTTCTCAAAATGATTGATAATCTACCGAACTCCACGCTCTGTGGGACGATTATGTCGACCAAATTCATCACGAAGTTTGAGATAAGTACCTTTTAAAGATCATCCGTTTCTGTAATATTTTTGGACGACCAAAATGCGTTCTTGCGTTGTTAAAGAATCCATAATAACAAATGGCAGACCTTTGACAGTTCATATGTGCTAAACACATGGCAGTTGACACGTATAAATGACAGTTAAAAAAAGAAGCAATAGTTGGAACACAACAACCTCTTAAATGACTGAAGTGTCCAGTCCACTTGAATAGCTGTTCTAAGAGCGTTTTACTAATGCTCTTGCAACATACAATGCTGTGTAAGTAATATTGTATAATTGTTCTTGTAACCCTAACAGGAGTGATAACTGTCGGGTTCCCCTCTTCATCCCACAACGTCAACGCGGGTGCCTCCAGGGATCGGTCTTGGCCCCAACATTGTTTTTATTACATATCAACGCCTTCCTCTACCGAACGATCACTCCTGCTGATGGGCTGGGGAGAAGATTAGGAGCAACTTACTTTCAGACAAGAGATCTAGAAATTGTGAGAGCTTGGGGACACAACATGGTACAGTTTAATGTTACGAAAGCACAGGACTGCACCTTGGTTAACCAGAAGTGCCCTAACGTTCACCCGGTTTCGATGGATGGTCAACTTCTGCCAAACACCTATTAGTTTCTTCTGGTCGGAGTCCAGATCATGGAGGAAATATTTCGTCAATGGCAACAGCTGCTTGGAAAATGTTAGGTACTAAGCTCGGATAAGGTCAACTTGATATGATATGCTATGTTGGAGGAGGGGAGACAGAGCATTCACACATTGGTCGGCACTTGGTCAAGTTAGAATATGATACAGAGTACATTTGATAAGTAATGCCATGTAGCGTTTCAGTCAGTTAATGTCAGTTGTACTCGTATTATTTATTACACAACAAATACCCAAAAGCAAAGTAATGTCAGGTCTCAGTGATAAAATCATAAATTTAGTCCTGCAAGTTACGTACAGGGTGGCCAACTAAGAATGCGAGGTACAGTATCTGGAAACCTATCCATCGTAGAGGCTTACGTCAAAAGAATTCTTACTAAGACGGCCAAGAGAAAAACCTGGAAAATATTTTCATATCTCTGAAATGGCCGCTAGGGGCACCGCAATCTTGAACCTAAAAAAGTGTGAATCCCGTTGTATTAACCTAACAAAAAAATACCTGATCTTCAAAGTCGAGGATAATGACAACTTTTTTGTTTGACAATCTTTGCTGTATCTCTTAAAATAAAGTGATGGGGTTTATTCAAAAGTTTCCGTAAAAACACCCTGTATCTTCGACATGGTTGAGCCGATTTTAACAAACTTGAACTTGTTCAAATGTAATATTTGAAATTTTGTTAGTTTAACATGTGGCCGCTAGAGGGCTTTTCTCACATTCCGCCAAAAATGGTTAAGTTTCTCGAATAAATTAAATGCATTGGTATGATTTTTTTTAATGAAAAAGTAGCTAACCTGAAATTCAGGTCAAAGAAAGTTTTATACGGAAATCCCTTAAATTTTTATTTGTTTGAACAAATTTTTCTGGAATTATGTTTCATTCATCAGAATAAAATCACCTTGTTTGAAAATATTACAAAATATCGCTAAAAGGTTAGCAAGTAATGTAAGTAAACCTTTATTTTTTAAATCGGTCCTTTTTAGGGCCACAACTTAATAATAAAAAGAAATTCCAGAAAAATTACTTGAAAAAAAATCAAAATTAAAGGGGATTTCCGTATAAAATTTTCTTAGTCCTAAATTTTACTTTAGGTCAAGATATCGAGATGCGGTTTTTACGAGCTCGTTTAGACATCATTTAGCTACTTTTTCGTCGAAAAAAAAAACAGATAATTAACCATTTCTGTCGGAATGTCGAAGAAAGTCCGTTTGCGCCCACATGTGAAACCAGCAAAAGACTAAATATTATAACATTTACAGCCCAAGAATAGCTCTTTTCAACTAGATCTAGTTTGTTAAAATCGCCTCAGCCGTTTGGAAGATACAGGGTGTTTTTTACGGAAACTTTTGAATAAACCCCCACCACTTTATTTTTAGAGATGCAGCAAGCATTGTCAAACAAAAAAGGTTCAGATTATCCTCGGATTTAAAGATCAGGTGTTTTTGTGTTTGGTTAATACATTTCAGAAACTTAAAAATATTTTCCGGGTTATTCTCCCGGATGTTTTAGTAATAACTGTTTTGTCGCAAGCCTCTACGATGGACAGATTCCCAGATACAGTACCTTGTATTCTTAGTTTGAAACCCTGTATATACAATGCAATCATAGTGGCTAAATTTCGTGCCATCCGATATACAGACCTTTTGTTATGTCTCAGCCTTTGCAAGTGTCGGTAAGATTAGCAGGAAACCAGAAATCAATAGAGAAAACTGCCTAAAAGTTTGTGATTTTTTTTCAAGTTAGTGTCTGCCACTTCACACACACAAAAAGTTATAAATTAGCTTTTTTGACCCATTAACCACGAACAATCCCATTTGAAATTAGCTCTTTCGTTCATTACTGTATTACTGCTGCTTTGCATTCAATCAAGTTCATTCTAAGAATAGTGCTTTTGCACAGCAAATACATTTCACAAATCTTATGCGTCAGTTAATTTATGTCCGCGCGCTTGATTCTAAATTTGTTAGATAAGCAAAACCATTTTTGAATTCGTACCACTTTTTTGGTTTCTCTGTCAAGTTGTAAATTTTATTTTGGGTGGTACTACATCCTCTCTGGACATGTTTACACCGTAGGCAGTCAAGCGCTCATATAGCGCATAGACATAGTCATGCATACCATACAGTGTAAACGGGCACAGAACAGCATTTACGCACATAACTATGGTGGCCTGTGGCTGTGTAAGCGATTAGCTACCTACGGCCAATGGTGTAATAAAGGTACTCCAAGATCATATCTATACACCCTAGCGTCGCAGCCTGATGAGCGACAGGCAGTATGGTTTTCGACACCAGAGATCAGCGGGGGACCTATTCACACAACTGTGGAGTAAACTCTTCCACCCAACTAACAATTATCACTCCTATTAGAGTTGCAAGAATGATTATACAGTATTCCTTAAACAGCATTGTATACTGTCAGAACATTGGCAAAACCCTCTTAGAACTGCTATACAAGCGGAATGGGCACACCTTATAGGACACTTCAGTCATTTAAGAGGTTGTACAAGGGCTGCAGGTAACAGTTATACAACAAAGGTGTAAGCCTCTTCCAGCGGCTATAGGACATTTGCGCCAGTGCAAGATTCAGTTTTTGTCAACTATACAACTATTCTGTTACGTGATTCTACTTTATTGCAACCAAACTGTTCCTTATGTATTGTATAGACGAAGAAGAATATATAACTAACACATTACAGTCATCTTGTTTACTTACATATCGACCATTGTGAATTTCATACCCAGGTATATGATAAACTTCTACACTGTGATATAGGGCTATTGAATTACTTGCGCAGCAAATTTTATTGTGATCGTGCAAATTAGTTACGCAATTTCTACGGGCTTCGTATTTGATTAATATTTTGATAATGATTAAAAGTATGTCTAGATTTTTAAGATGGACAACTGAACTTATCTTAAATCTTCCACAAATCGTATACTTAGACACAATTACACTAATGTTTATCACTTTATATCTGTAATTTCGAACTGAAACATAATTATTTAATATTAAATAGAGGAATAAATGTTTGCCCAATATGGCGGGTGGTTGTGTATAATCATGGCATCGTCCATGTTGTCTTTAGGTTATTAGAATATTTTGGTGTTGCCTGCAGGTGTTATACAAGAATTTGACAAATGTCTGAAATGAAATACCGACAGAGTCGAATGACTTACCCAGAATTTGTACCAGATCTATATCTTCTGTTTGAACAGTTGATAAAACATTTTGAACCAATATGCATGCGTTGTTTGTCTTAAAACATTGGTTATGGCATTTTAACAAAAATATGACAGCAAAAAGTTAGGTTATGGTGAAGTTGTATACCAACATATTTACACAACCTTTAACAGTTACTAAACAACAGTTGTATAAGTGCTTCCGTTGTGAGCAATTTGTTGGCTAAAGTAGTAAATTGCACAGCAAAACAACAAGGCTCGGGTTTGTTATATAAACGTTACCATGGATGCCACAACACAACCATTTCGACTAACGTGCAAATATGCCGTATAAAATAGTTGTATAAACGTTTATGCAACACTTAAAAATTTGCCCTATAAGAATATTTTAAACACCTCACTTTAGAGCAAATATGTTGCAGAAAGCAAATTTGCATTCCACACAACATTAAGCCATCATTTTGGTGTTCAGGCAACAACAATAGAGAGCTTTTATGGCTGAACAGTTGTTTTACCAAAAGCTTATACCACTACTTTGCTAGTTGGGCAGTTTCGTGGTGGGGCTTTCGATCAATTGTGACATGATGATCTCTTACGCAAGCTTCAATCTAATGGCCTCCCAGAGGAGCTCTGCAGATGGGTGGCTGACTTCACCTTCGGCTGCGAGATATCCGTAGCAATTGCCGGTTTCTCCTCTTCGTGACACAGTCTGAACGTGGGTGATGCACAAGGATCGGTCTTTGGTCTCTTTTACCGCTATGTCAACAGGCTTTGTTTCACAGAGCTCTCCTTTATGATGCCTCCGCGCGTTGAGCCTTTCAGATGAACCCGACAGGTCTGTGCCTTCCATTCCAACTCTACGATCGCACCTTCGTTCCTAGGGAGTCGAAATAGTGGAACAGTCGGCCTTAGGAGGTTTTACCCAGTTCTGCTAAGCTTAGGCAAATCAAAAATCTTATTAACAAAGTGTTTTTGAGCTCTTGCAAGCAGTTGTGGTAACGTATTTACGTTTCTACCTTCGTGACTGCCTCAGTATAAAAAATGCGCAAGGTTGTAGGAAAAATTAGGAATCTTGCATTTTTCAACACGCTCTGTTATGTTCTTAATGCATTTTTCTAGGACTAAATTGACTCCATTGGAGCCCCTGACACAGGAAGAATCCATCAACGAGGACATAAGGACCATAAATGTGTTCACCAAGAACAATACAGACATCATACTTTTTGGACTATATGGACGAAGCAGTGGTTCTACCATATTCATCAGTTCTACGCTTCTGGTCTTTGTAGTTGTCTTTAGGACATTGTTCTAATAAATAATAAAGCAATTAGCGATATGAATAATTGAAGTATCCACTGCCACACGTATTGAGGAATTGTAAGGAATATTTGTTTTCTGTTGTCGTATTTTCACTGTCTTTTTCGGTAAAGTAGGACTTATACTAAGCAGTGGTCTGGGATTATTTTGCTTATGTTGTATATTGTATAAAATGTATAAATAAAGTGTAATAATACTGTTGATAGGTACATGTCGGGAAGTCTATAGTTCTTTTTGCTCTCTTAGTCTTAATATCTATTTGTTCAAAATTTTTGCATCAACAGAGCAACGGTCTTATTATTATATGCATTAAAAGACTGTCTCTGATTTGTTTTCTTCCATCCAGGATCCCTAGCACCCTTATTTATCATGTATGTAATACACACATGCTCTCTTTTTATCCCTTTTTCATAAGTACTCGTAACTGGCTTTTTTAAGGTTTTCTGTCACACATTTTTGTGCTGAATTTTATACGCTAAATTTCGTACAAAATGATGGACAGTGTAAGTCAGCATTAAGTAGATACTTTTGAACGAACAAATTTAGTATGTAAATTGTGAGAACATTTTCCTAATAACTTGATGCCAAAAGTGCGCAGAGACATACTGCGCATTTCAACTGTACAGTGGCCGATAGCACTGAGTCCCATGGTCTAATGGGGCTTGAATTTGGCATAAACAATCCTAATAGCACAAATACGTTCCAAATACTTACGCGCAATGACCCCGTGTAACCTAGGAAACGTTATCGGTAGGTTGCCTAAAGTTGCAAGATGTTCCAGGGACGTCCCTGTTGTCGGTTCCAAGGATGTGGCTTCTGAACGATCTAGGACATCGTCGATAAATATCTATAGACGCTGCCGTTCACTCACTATTATACATTTGTTTATTTTTCAACATTCCTTGTTGGCGGGAGAACAAAATGGCTGCCGAGGGGGGAAAATGTATCTGAGCCAATGGCGTATCATAATGAACATATTACCTCACTCACAACAATTCGAGCAGTGGAATTCACGTCGACCTTTTATTTTTTTGAAACATTGCTTAAGTTAGGTTATGTGTTCAAGTCAGATACATGAAATTGTCCCAACGTATAAGAATCTAACTTCATTATTAGGAAGTAAGATCCTAACGATATAACTGTTGCAATTATTGTAGGGTTTCCTAATACAAAATCCCCCTAATTATTAGCTTAAAAAATGACAACGCTTTACTATAAACAATTTATTTATAACGTTAATTAGTAACTGATGACGGCAAACATATATTAATATATATTTTTTATAAAAGGTACAGTATAGAAAACAGTACTTACAAACAGAAACAAATCTTCGTTAGTCTCATTTCTAGTACACTTTATATTTACAAACATTAAACCTAGACAATCTTCAAGTCTTCTTCAAACGTATATTTATGTACAAGTTACATACGTTGATATTGTATATTAGATAGATACAATTTCTATGTTATATTTGACAGAATCTTAGCAATATCTTAATTTTCACATGGGCGCCGGAAGAGGGGTGTCCAGGGGGACATTCAGAGAAGTATACAATTTACTATTCAATACACTTTGCCTTACAAACTTCCTAAAAATATTCTGAATAGAGGATCATATTTTCAAGTTGATCAACTTTTGTGACAAAATATAACTTATGAATTTTTTCGTATAATTTTATCTTCTCCAAAAAATTTACTAAAATTGTCGTTCGTCCATTATAACATAACTAATCATGTACGAATAAATCAAAGGTCAAAAAAGTTTCAGCAAAATATACAAGTATTAGAGAAATTGAATAAGCAAAATATAGAAGAATTCCACAATAAATCTCAAATAAAATAATATATGAAGCAATTTCACTATTTGTTGTTGAAGAGGATTATGAATTCTGGTCTGAGGGTCGTATCGTCAGTAATTACTAAAATTTATTGTAGGACGCCTTTATGGCCTCCTTGATTTTCATGGTTCTTACTGTCCTTCAAAAAGGTGCTCTTTGTTGAGGTTATGTTACAAATATCTCTTTATATCAAATTGTTCATGCTTTTGGTTTTTATCATCTATTTTATAAGCGTGAAATTTCTTACAATTCATTAAAAAGAAAACATAACTAGGAGAGCGCTGACACTGACACGGAACAGTAGAAATCTAGAAATACCCCAGCCTCTCTGAAGGACAGAAAAGGCTATGAAAATCAAGAAGGCCATAGAGGAGTCCTTAGGGCCGTATCGTCAGTCGTTCCTACAATAATTGGCCTCCTTGATTTTCATAGTCATTTCTCTCCTTCCGAAAGGCTGAGGATTTCTAGACTTCTACTGTTCCGTGTCAGCTTCAGCGCTCTCCTATTGTGAAGTCATGTTTTCTTTTTAAATTGTAGGTAATTTTACTTTGATAAAACATGATATAAATCAAAAGCATAAACAATTTGATGTAAATGGACATTTGTGACATAACCTCAAAACAGAGGGCTGACACGGAACAGCAGAAACATATGAAAATCAAGGAGGCCATTAAGGCGTCCTACAATTGTAGGAATGTCTGACGAGACCGCAACAAAGTGATATCAATATCCTGAATAGTACTCTCATATTGGACAGGAATTATTTGGACAGTTTTCTAAATCTCTTAAGGAGATTTAGTGTAGTCTGAAAATTTCGGCAAAAATTGGATTGTACGATCCAGAGTCGCTTCCACATATTACACCAATATTTCTTTGTAACTTTATTGAATAAAAGTGGCAGCAAATATTAGCTCTCACAAATTATTTCACAAATATTAAATTTATTGGCATCCATGTAAAGAAATATACACTAGTATCAAGAAGCACATGAGAATGGAATAACATCGCGATGCCAATTGAGGATGCAAATTGAAGATGTTATATTTATTATTTTTGTAGCACATTAGAATATCATGAGTACCTGGTCCAAGATTATTAGTTTGGAAGAAGAGCTCTTTTTGAATCTTGCTCCAAACAAAATAGTCTTTAAAGCAACCTCCTTAAAATTGCATTAGATGAATTCATTTATTTCGAAATTTTGTATAAATAGGCCAACGCATCCATAGTAAAGGTGTCACACCATTCTTTTATCCTCCTTGACAATTTTCAATAGGGTAACGCCTACTATAATACAGAGATGGTCTCAATTAGCTTAAACGCAACTTTCAGGACCTGGGATAGCATCTGCAATGATGTGGTCCCTACGCATCGTTGCGAAATTCGACACGAATTGCGTGGATCCTTCTCTAGAAGGCCTGGGCCGGCTTCGGCCCAAACTGCTGCTGGTGTCACACGACGCTGGGGACTGAAATAAGAAAGGGCAGAGAAATTAAGTCACAGTCTTGTGATATAGCTTTCGTTCGTCTGACCACAGGTGGTCAGCCATGGGCAGCTGTTTCGTGCTGTTTGGTAACTCCTCAGCATGGTCTAGGCTTCTCAGTTTTTTGAAACCGAGTTCATATACATTACACATTCATACATACTCACTTGTCCATTTGAAAATGGTGAGCCACAATTGACGAGAGGTCGACTGCTTAGCTCTCCCGGACTAACGAAAAGATCTTCTGGTCTTGGCAGACTGGTAGGGGTTGACTCAGCACCTGTTTAAAGTCATCAAACATATAGATTAGATGCTCCAACATAATCTATCGTAATCTCTCATATTTGCACGAAAACATGCAAAAGGTGTCTTTGCGTTATGTAGTATGCGAAAAGATGGTTACTGATAATAAATACTGTGTTGAAAAGTTGAAAAAAAATAGTTACCCACACTATTTTTACCGTACACATTGCATAATAAGAATACGTACGTACTTTCTCTATCACGTACTGTTAGGTACGGTAATTGACGTTGTTTGGCAAGAATTGACAAAGCAAACGTCAAGTCGATGTCTTTATTTACTTAAAGATGGTGCAAGTAAAACCGACGACAATACTTATTGTTATATATTCACACATATAAAAATATACATATTTCGGGAAAAGTACATAAAAAAGAAATCGCTTTTCCTTTTATGCTGGGTAGTATTTTCTCGCTTCAAATACCAACAGTAATATACTAACAGATATGCGTGCCAACGACCTTAAAACCATTCTTCAAACCTTTTTGTTCATCAGCCAGTACCATGATTTGAAGAGAAAATGGGAATGAGAATAAAAAAATGAATGTTCAATGACAACCGGCAACCCATCTTTTTTTACGCATTCAACTTATTGTTTACAAAGAGTTCTGTATTTAAAGATTTTCATGCGCACAGTTCTTCATCGTTTAATTTTCGTTATTCATTGATGTGCGTCTTTTTGTGCCGTGAAAAATTCTTGTTAGTAATCTTACGTCCCTTAGTTCCGAAAAACAGGCTTTAAGTACGAACATCCTTCACCATTCTCATCCACTGCATGCAAAAAATTCTTTATTAAGCAGAACTTTACATGTAGAGGAAATGCTATAACGGGTTCGGGCTTCGGGCCCAAGTATCTTACGTACATCTGACTGATATAAAGTGCATTCGGTTTGGCCAATCTTGTATTTTTTTTTTGGCACTAGGGCATTGCGTCCCATTAGCCAGATCCAATCTTGTATATGATACATCTCTAATTATGGACAAACACACGACGTCACAACATCCATGGCTTCGAAATGTGATTTTCGAAGGCGAGATTCGAACTTGCGGCCCGGCCGGCCGGCTGATCAGTAGCACGACACTCTGACCCACGCGGCCAATCGAGGTCCCAGGCCAATCTTGTATCAAATACTGTTCATCAGTAGGTCTGCGGTCACACAAAAAAAACAACGACAGTACTTAAAGAATCAGCCTTTCAAATCAAATCACAAATTATTACTTTGACGTCAGCACACACCTTTTACCTATTCATTCACTCATTAATTCATCTTGAAAACTATACCATTACATTCGCAGTCATAGATAAAGAAACAAACGTGAAATGATCCAATTTTTCTCATAACCAATGTTAGTAGAACGGACGTAAGTGAAATCGATTGAAAAAGTATCGGTATATACTTTGAAAACAAGACGCGATAAGACATGCACTGCCCACATACTGTAACTAGGAGATAACTATAAAAGCAATTAGGTTTTCGGATACCGAAATCATGTCACGGAATATAATTTTGAAAAAAATGACGTCAAGTACATTGACTCTATACTTCCCACGCCTTCGAAACAACTTCCAGTACAATTTTCCATGTATTGCAATGCCATAAAAAAGACGTAAGTTTTGTAAGAACCATTAGTGCACCATTGGGGCTTTTCGTGAAAAAAAAACGGCGTCAGATTGACCCTGCACTTCCTATGCAACGCCGTCATCTGCT